TATTATACTCTGGCAAAACCATATAATTATTCCTCTATGAAAAAAATTTTAAAGTAGTATATTAAAAAGAATATAAAAGTTAATAAAATAGTTATATTTAATCTAGCTATTTTTTTTTTGATTTCTACTTTTTGATTTTATCTTTTGTTTTTCTGAAAAATAATGGATAAATTAATTCAAAATGAAGAAATACAGCCACTACACTTGAAAAGTTAGCAATTATAGACGAATCATTCGCAACAAAACGTGCACAGACTTCTAATTTAACCACGGATAAAGTGATTCAAAAGATTCAGCTTTAAAAACTAAGCCCCCAAAAAATATTTAAAAATAAATCACCATCTACCATTAGTAAAAAGAATAAATTAAAACTTATGCAAAATTTTATGTGCGAATTATAAAATTCCACACCATTTCACGTTGAATTTCGGTCTAAACCTAGGCATAAAAATTCTTTACAGTCAATGCCAAAAAAAACCGTTACGATCATACGCACAAAATCATGAGAATCTATCGTAAAGCAGGACGCAATTTGTATTCCTATATTATTGGGTGAAAGCTTTAACAATGCAATTGGTATGTATTGGTCAGATACTCAAATGTAGTATCTTTTATGTTACTAGTTGTCAAAATTACTAAAATTTTTTGTTATATGTTTATAATAACATATCTGTAACTACAGAAACGATTGACAAAAATTTTAATCTACAAACAAGGTATAAAGATATGCTCAGGGGGTTAGAGATATAAAAAAATTGTTTGTTGAAATAATGGACAGCAGGGGTGGTAAATAACTGAATGATTCAAATAACAACTTAATAGTCATTGGTTATTTCAAAACCTAAATAACCTTAGATGATCATTTAATATATGTTAGTTAATAATTTAAACCTTTTAACCAATCAAAATTGGCCGCCAAATAAAATTAAATTTTATAAAAATATAATTAAAATCGTAGCTATATATTAAGGTCAAAATTTTACTTAATATTTATGTTTTAGATGAAATCATCAGGGATAATATATTTAATTTATTATCTTGAATAACTTAAGGCAAATTTTAATTGACTTAGTAAAATTTTGAAGTAATAAAGTTCTATAGCTTTTTATATGAGCAATTCAACCGATATAATTGTTTAATATACAAATGGTCCAAATGACCTGGTCATTATTTGATGAGTTGGGGTTATTTAAATCTTAATTTACATTTTTAATATTATACAGTAATTATTTTTAATTAATAATGTTTCTAAAATTTGTTATTATTTGAAAAATATTATTAACTATATATAATTTAAAATAGTAAAAATAAAAAATTTAAAAATATCAAACTTTATTCAACTTTTTTAATAATACTTCAAGATTCAAAATGTCGATATCGCACATCGTGATCACGAAGAAACATTGAGATTTTACCCGGCAATAATCATTCGAAGTCACATGTAAGCCAACTGTTACGACCAAGGGAGAGACTTTATATCCACTGAGCCAATTTAGCTTAGGGTCGTAAGCATTAAAGAGATAAACCAAAGATTCTTTATTGAATACAAGACATTGCAAGTAACTAATATCTCCAACCGACTAATCAACTTTCTCTGTTTCTACTGAACCCAAGAAGTACTACCCAGAGTACTATTCCAAAAATCCTCTTGAAACCTAAAAAAATCTATCTCTTCTCCCTTTTCAAGAATATCGTTATATATTAGACTCAAATTGACTGTCCTGCATGATGCAAAGTAAACTAATACTATGAAATCTCGTAATGTTCGACAAAGTATAATAGCGCAATCGCTTCGATCATTACTTAATTATAGACTAAACAATTATAAGGTTACACGAAAGTAAAGTTTAATGATTAATTATGTTACATTAGTTTGCGTAACACCAACAAAGATTCGGCCACCATTTTTTCCGCACGATGCTAGGATTTGTTACATTACATTAACTAGGCATTGATAAATGCCAAAAATAATTGTTTCTATAGAAGAGGACTCATAGAATCATGTAGTCATGTTATTCTCCCGCGGATTTCTTTATTTAACATTATGATACATAATAAACATGTATAAGTGGGTTTTAGTAGGTTTTATGGATCTAAATTGAGACCCCAAATTTTCAGCTTCAGCCAATTTCACGATCATCCCCCACAATAAACAATTAGAATCTCAAAAAATTTCCTCGATGATCATTACAAAAATCATGGGTCACTTCTTTTTGCAAAGCGCTATAATTTAATTTACAGAAATGAGAATCGATTCAATTTTGATTAACGATTATCATAAAACGATTTTCATAGAATCGATTTACAACCCTATCGCAACGGACAGAGCTTGAGTAGAGCAAAATCATATGATTGGGTAGTTAGCGGTAAGGACGGCTCCGAAAATATTTTGGCGTGCCGAAAATCTTACCGTAAGTCTACCGAAATTCGAAAGTCTTACCGAAACTCTTATCGAAAGTAAGGATAGTTCCGAAAGTATTTTGGCATGTCGAAATACTTTCGGTATATTCGACTTACTGAAAGTAAAAATCCGAAAGCCGAAAGTTTTACTGAACGTCGAAAGTCCTACCGAAATCGAAAGTCTTACCGAAACTCGTATCCAAAGTCGAAAGTCTTACCGAAACTCGTATTGAAAGTCGAAACTCTTACGAAACTCGTATCAAAAGTCTTACCGAAAGTAAAATTCTATTTTCACCCGGTATAAGTCATAAGATATGTGATTCGATTATGTCATATAGAACTTTGACAAAAGCCATTCACTTATTGTAATTAATCTGAAATTTTATTGTGCTGCTTACGAAGCGAGTGTCACGTGACTTGAATTTATCGTCTTTCGCGTTGATTGGTCAACACACGATCTAATAATCATGTGAAAGCATAAGAAATTATGCGTCAAGATCTGATTGGTTTTTGTCGAAGTCTGTATCAAATTACATTTCGAAAAGTGACTTTTCCCCGGTGAAAAGACTTTCGGAGTTTCGACTTTCACCTTTCAGTAAGAATTTCGACTTTCAATAAGAGTTTCGACTTTCGGTAAGAGTCTCGACTTTAGGTAGGCTTTTCGATTTTCGGTAAGACTTACGACTTTCGGACATTTCGGTAAACCAGATCCTGTCCGAAAGTACTTTCGGCAGACTTTCGGTTTCGAAAGCACCTATTTACGGCCATCCTTAGTTAGCGGTTAAGGTGTATCAATATGAATTTTAATAATATCACGTGAACTTGCTCTGTCCCTGAGCTCTGTCCGTAGAATTTCCGGACTTGCAATGTTAGGTCGTCACGGGTCACGTATTCAGGATGCTTATACGTAGTTCGTAATAAGTTGTCACGTATCACTTTTTGTCTGGTATTTTCAGGATCGAAGCCAAAGGGCCACTTATTATTGCTGAGTCAAATGGTTATACATTTTTACCAAGGCCTCAAACCCAGGACTTGAGTCTCGAATCCTGACCTAATGTCTCAAATCTCAGCTAAAGGTTGAAGCCCGGGCCTGGGTCCGAAAACTCATATTATTCTATACTACGCGTGCATAAATTATATACGTACAGGAAAATGAAGCAAATCATGTAGCAAGATTATATTTAACCGAATTTTTCGTAACAAAGTTCATATTTCTGTAACAGATAAACTATTTTAACAAGTGTTTTCTACAATAGTTGATCTATGCCTTATATAGGAAATTCAATATGTTCATTGGAATGTTCTTTAGAATTTGCAAAACTCCGTGGGCAATAATAAATTTCTTAAATCAATTTCATACATCTCAAACCTCCTTTATTAGTATAAAAATACGGAATTTTATATCTTTTACTAAAATGTTTTGTTACCGTATGATGTAAATCATTGATCGGCAGGTAATAGTTACTATTTTAGTTAATTTCTATAAATTCAAAATGGATTTGTGTATGGGTACCTGATCATCGTGAAAGTTATTAGTTTTATTACAAATTCAAATTTCATGCAACTCGTGAAAATTATTAGTTAGTCTATAAGTAACTTTTAATGAAAATACGGTTTAAAATTTTGTAATGGCATACACAATCTTACTATTATTCTTTTTTGATTTACAAATTTTAATCAAATGTAACTGATCGGACGGTCAATTCCGTTAATATGATTATTTTCGTTAATAGAATTTCTTATAAGAATAAAAAGAGAGAATGTAATAAAACTATGGCGTTTCCATGCAGAACATTTTATTTTTAAATATGGAATACAAAAGCTCAGACAAAAAATTGAAAAAAATATATAACTGATACTTCCCTGACGTTTTTAAATTTTCAACAAAAAAAAATAAAAATAAAACGAAACAAAACTACAAAAATAATATAATTACAAGCGCAACAAAAAAAAAAAGAATTATGAAATACAAAAATACAAAAATACAAAAATAAAATATAATAAAAATAAAGAATCAAACAAAAATAAATGCGAGCAATAAACCCATCTAGATACATCCTAAGCCATGCCAAATACCATCATAATCGTAAAGAGCACTGATTTTGCTATATTTTCGAATTCCTTAATATTTTTTTAATTTTTTAATTTTAAATTTTTTTTTGATTTTTTACTATTTTGATCATTTTTGATTTTTTCCATTTATTTAATTTTTGATTATTGTTTGTGATTTCTATTTGAATGTTTTTTCGTCTTATTAAATAGACTTTTTTTAACATCAGGATAGCAGGAATCTTCAAGATTGTTGCTAAACGGAGATTGACGCTTCTAACAAATTTCTTAAATTACAGTTAATTTTTGAATTGTCTGAATTTAATCGTCCTGGAAACCTTATTTTTTATGTATAAATTTCATTAGAACCATTCACATTTTGAATGCGTAAATAAGAATAATGCAAAAATATTATTGAAACTTAGTTGCTAAAGATTAATTGATCCGCGACTAGTGACGTAATATTTATGCATCTAAAGTAACAAATTACATTCACTGTTACACTTACAAATTGAATGTTTTTTTTCTGATTTTCTAGGCATATCATTCAATTATTCATTATGGGAATACATTCTGTTAATATCATGAGAAGCTGATGCATGATATGATGTGCTTGATGTATCAAATAATTCAGTAATAATATTGTAATTGGGTGAGCAGCATAAATTTGTAGTGTCAAATTCTTGAACGCAATTTTGATCAACTGATTGCACGTTATTATAACTAGTTGGATAATTGATTCCACCTATTAGATCACTGGCCCATACTACGGTAGGAAATTCTTCGGTAAGAAATTCTTCGGTAAAAAATTCTTCGTGAAGAATTTTGTTAATATTTTCTTCATATGATTCAGGTTCTTTAGTAAGTTGGCTTGAGAATATATTTTCGTTTGTTACATTTGAAAAGCTGGGAAAAGCATTGGAAGAAATACCAGATGTTGTATTAGGTGATGAATTTGAACGTAATGGTATTTTATGCTTAGGCATAGAATTAAATTCAACAGGCAATGAATTTGACCGAGATTGATTTTCAATACGAAATGATGTGGTATATTGCATATATTTTTGTTTCTGACGTTTTGATTTATTCTTTTTACTAATTGTATATGGTGTTTCATTTTTAAATTTTTCTTCTTGAGGCTTGGTGTTTAAAGCGACATCTTTTTGAATCATTTTATTCATGGTTAAATTAGAAGCCTGTTTACGTTTTGATTTATTCTTTTTACTAATTGCTTTCAATCTTGTTGCCGATGTTTGATCAATAATTTTGATATTTTTAGGAGCAGTAATTAAAATTGCTTCGTTTGGAATTAAATTATTCATGTTTTGCAGAAAAAAATAAAAAGGAAATTTAGAATAAGGAACGAAAAAATAGGATAAAATGTAAAAAATCACCAATCTCGTGTTTTTTATTTACTTTGATTAATCTTAATAAGGAGATACCTTTTTAGAAACTGTTTGTTTCTCAAGGAATAATTTATTTTTAAATCCGTTAATTTGCTTAAATTGGAGCAGAAAAAAATTTTGATTTGATGAAGCATATCGTTAAACCTAACTTGTAATTATGTTAGATTGGAATTTCCATTTCTTCCCAAGACCCTTTAACTGGACAACTAAAATTTACAGGTTTCAAGTAGCTCATAGAAATTACTATATAAGAGATTATTTTAAATTCATAAATATATTCAAACAATCATATTTCTAAAGAATCAATCCCAATCCAACATTTTGATTTTTCATCAACAATAATTACGCCATTATCATAAAAATAAATAATGTGTACGGGCGTTCGATTTATGTGAAATTCCTATTTTAGTTAAATGAGATATCATGAAAAACTAAGTGTTTATTATTTTAAAGTAATTGAATATAGTGTAAATCATCAAACAATAAATTTATTTCATAGTGAATGATGAGTATGGTTTATGTGGTATAGTAAAATGTGGATTCCTGACGCAATGGTCATCTTTGATCCAATTGTACTGATATCAAGTGAAAACTGACAAATCAATGCATCAGACTATTGTGTGATAGAAATTTGAAATTTGCTTAAGAACGTTCAATTGCTAATTGGCTATTATTTTTAATTCTATAATATCCATTCATTTCTCTAAATCAATGTATAAAATACCCAATATCATTATCTTTAAAGTAATTCCACTTGTTCCGTTATCTGCTCTCATACACATTACCTTTTAAGTGCCCATACACAAAAAATTTATTTAAAAAAAAAAAAAGAACTCTAATATATTGGCCTCTAAATTTAACTACAGTTCCTTGTTGTACTTTTGAGGAATTCCCCAATTTGAAATTGCCAATTTAAGATAAATAACTTGTAGGGATTTACTGCACCTGTAGAGAATCGGATCCTAACAACCACCGACAAGTTAGCCGCATTAGGTTAGGGCTAGTATTAGTTCCGGTCAATTTTTATCGGGATTTGTTTGTCGGGAAAGTGTTGTCGGGAAAATGATAGAGAATAATGCGTAATAAATTCATAATTGTAGTAATCCTTTCTATAATTGATAGCAAATTAATTTAAGGTAATTTCTTTTTACAGATAAGCGGTATTAATATGTAAATTTGAGATATCTAAAGTTGAAATATTGATCCTTGAAAATTTCCTTATAGAGGAGCTACTACTGTATACGTAGCGATCGGACTAGCGTTTGTGTTAGATTACACATCTAATGCAGATTATTCGGTAACCTTGTCATCTAAAACGTCTTATCGTTAGCATTGATCCAGATATTTATTTCTACTATGTAAAATAGGTAAAGCAATTAAATATTATTTATAATACGATTAAACTAGGAAATAGAAAACTATTGATGATCCAAAGGATCTGATTTGTACACGTGGTTGTTTATTTCTGATCAACAAATCAAAATCGAGAAAAATGTTAATTCTATGTAATTTTTACCATCACGTGATGATCGACGAAAATAAGCCAATAATGAATCTCGATTTGGTGT